CTCTCGCCGCCCGCCCTAGAGGACGGTGGAATCGAGGAGCGACCGCTGGAGGGCGGCGCCGACGCCGCCGGCTGCCTCTGACGGGACTCCCTCCCCTCACCTCTCGCCATGGGACTCCCTCCCCTCACCTCTCGCCGCCCCCGCCCTAGAGGACGGTGGCACCGAGGAGCGACCGCTGGAGGGCGGCGCCGCCGCCGCCTGCTGCCTCTCGGACGCAGACGCGCTCCGCCTGGCGCGGCTCGGGCTTCAGCTGGAGAAGGCGTTCGGAGGCGCGCGCGACGTCGAGTGGGCCGTGGCCGAGGTCAGTGACCCGTGACTGAGGTCAGGGATCTGTGATAGGGTCAAGGACCGCGCGACATATCCTGTCTCCTGCGATGTCTTGGAGGTGGGATGTTGGAGCGTGATTACGGCTGCGTTTGCCCCGACTGGGTTTTTTTCTATACGGTCTATGCACATTGGTATTTTACGATGTCTGTTAAAACTGAAAAGGCTGCATATATAGGTTTGTGGTAACTAAAGTACCATGGCGCCATAGGAGTGTTTAGAATCTGGGTAGATTAGCTCGAAAAGGCACTTTAAGCAGCCTTGATGCGTAAAAGTATCGTCTCGCAATGCCGTGTAAAGTTTCGGATCCGTCTTCGCTCAGTCTTCGATCGCACTCCGATGCGTGCGTGCATAGGGCTCTGCGCGTGTCAGAGCAGGCGCCGTGTCTGACCGGCCGGCCTCCCGACGCCGGGTGTGTTGACCTCCTGCCGCCGGCGCGTGGCCCGCAGGACACCCTGTACCTGCTGCAGTCCCGACCCGTGACGTCATTCACTGGCTGGACCGAGTTCGAGCTGACGCACGAGTGTGACTCAGCACTGCTCACCGATGAGGAATGTCTCACCACTGCCAACACCGGGTGAGAATACGCGTACGCGTGGCGTGATTCCGCGCGAACTCATGGGCCTGTTACACGGAAGAAAATGCCCGACAACCACGTGAGCATTACCTGCATGCCTGCTAAGATGCGCCAAGAACATGAAACTATTTGAGTAAATAGAGATGAGGGAAATCCCTCGCTCTTATGTGTGAATAGATTGCAGTTAGTTACGGCATAGACCTCTCGACTACTTTCTAAGTATGCAGAGGTTCTTGCGTGATAGACGCACAGTATCGCTGGCGTCTCGCTGCCTGCAGGCAAGGTAAGACCTTCGCTCTGGCAATAACGACGCAGGTAAGGCTCACCAATACCATGCGGTCCGCCGCGGCTGACAGTTCCCGCACGCACGGGCCTCGCGCCCCGCGTGTTAAAGCAGCGTCTCTGCGCCGCAGGGAGGTTCTGCCGCGCGCCCGGCGTGTTAAGGCAGCGTCTCTGCGCCGCAGGGAGGTTCTGCCGCGCCCCCCGCGTGTTAAAGCAGCGTCTCTGCGCCGCAGGGAGGTTCTGTCGCGCGTCCCGTGTGTTAAAGTAGCGTCTCTGCGCCGCAGGGAGGTTCTACCGCGCGTCCCGTGTGTTAAAGCAGCGTCTCTGCGCCGCAGGCAGGTTCTGCCGCGCCCCCCGCGTGTTAAAGTAGCGTCTCTGCGCCGCGGGGAGGTTCTGCCGCGCGCCCCGCGTGTTAAAGCAGCGTCTCTGCGTCGCAGGGAGGTTCTGCCGCGCGCCCCACGTGTTAAAGTAGCGTCTCTGCGCCGCAGGGAGGTTCTACGGCGCGTCCCGTGTGTTAAAGTAGCGTCTCTGCGCCGCAGGGAGGTTCTGCCGCGCGTTCCGTGTGTTAAAGTAGCGTCTCTGCGCCGCAAGGAGGTTCTGCCGCGCCCCCCGCGTGTTAAAGCAGCGTCTCTGCGCCGCAGAGAGGTTCTGCCGCGCGTCCCGTGTGTTAAAGTAGCGTCTCTGCGCCGCAGGGAGGTTCTGCCGCGCGTCCCGTGTGTTAAAGTAGCGTCTCTGCGCCGCAGGGAGGTTCTACCGCGCGCCGTCACTCCGCTCACCAGCAGCACAATGTGCTACGGTTTGTCGGTGGAGATGCAGAACTTGCGCAAGTACCTGACGAGCTCCGGCCTGCCGTGTCCGCCCTACGCCCGGCAGTACTGCGTCCTGTCACATCACCGCTTCGGGATGGACGTGACGAAGGTAGGCCGGCGCTCCTGCCGTCGACAGGCTGGGGGAGGTGCGCCGGCCAGCTGGGCTGTGAGGTTTGGCTCAGTGTGGTGGTAACCGTTTTGGTTCCTGATTGGGGCGCCTGGGACGCGACGTGCCCTTGACCTGGACGTGTCCTTGACCTGACGCGGGGTTTCCTTAAATTGACGTGCACTCAGCCTAACACACCCCTGACCTGCCACACCCATGATCTTCCGCACACCTGACCTGCCATACACCCGACCTTCTGCACAACTGGCCAGTCACACTCCTAATCTTCCACACACCTGATCTGCCATACACCTGACCTTTCGTACCCCTGACATGACACACAGCTGACCATTCCACATCCCTGACCCTCCGTGCCCCGAACCTGCCACACCGCTGACCTTCCGGACCCCTCACCCTTCGCACGCCTGAGCTGTCACACCTCTGACCTGAGGCCGACCCTCCCCGTCGCCAGACGTTCCTGTCGACGCTGCAGTCCTGGGAGGAGCATGACGCGGAGCGCACCATTCAGCTGACCATTCTCGGCCACCTGGAGGACTGGACCCGGCCGCGGAGAACGGCCGTCCACCGCTACGGCGTGCTTAGCTGGCACGCCAGGATGCACCAGATGATCTCCATGGCGGGGGTGGGTGCGGCCGTCGGGGCTCGGCCGCACGGGCGGCCGGCTGGCACCGGTCACAGACCACCCAGCCGGCCAGCTGCGGCCCTGCGGTCCGGGTGCAGATCCTCCGCCAGGCTGGCCACGTGACCTAGCTGGCCACGGAGCGCCTTACATTCGCCGGACATACGTTCATACGCGCATGTATGAATACACATGCGCATGCATGGATATATTTATACATAAATACGCACCTGCGCGCATACTTGAATGCGTGCATGCATGCAGATACACGCACACATGACGTGCGTGAAAAGTGCTTCTCATATCTCTCCAGCATTCTCCCTACGTCCACACTTGCACCCATTCATGCAGTTATACTCGTAATCACACGCGCAACCAGACAACCAGCAACCAGTGGACGCCCCACCCCTCGAGCGGACCCTTTGCTGCCCGCCGCCCAGAGTGGGGGCGTCACCAGCTGACCGCGCTGCTCCTCCCCGGCGCAGTTGACCTGGCACATCGCCGAGGACGTGCGCCGCGGCCAGCGCGACTTCGGCCGTCTGCGCCTGCGCACTGATGGTCTGACCACGGCGCAGCAGGCGCTGCGCCACGTCTGCCACGAGCTGCGCCACATGCAGCGCGTGATACAATGCCACCTGCTCAGTTCGACGTGGAGCCAGGCACCGCAGATGGCGCTGCTGCTGCTGCTGGCCGAGGACGGCGCGCGTGAGTGAGCGGCCGCAGCCGGGCGGCGCCGTAGCACCGGCGGCTGTTGATGCTGTTGGCCGAGGGCGGCGCTCGTGAGTGGGCGGCCACAGCCGGGCGGCGCCGTAGCGCCGGCGGCTGTTGCTGCTGTTGGCCGAGGGCGGCGCGCGTGAGTGAGCGGCCGCAGCCGGGCGGCGCCGTAGCGCCGGCGGCTGTTGCTGCTGCTGGCCGAGGACGGCGCTCGTGAGTGAGCGGCCGCAGCCGGGCGGCGCGGCTCCACGCGCCGCTCTGGCGGCTGCTACGCGGCGCCTGGCTGATGACGTCACTAGCTTGGCGTGCCTTCGACGGGGCGCGTGCAATTTGGCTTTAACTGACCCGGGCGTTCATGAATTCGTTGACTGATGACAGCGGATGCGGTGCGATGGCGGTTCACCTCAGATGTCGCTGCATTTTGGTTTTGGAAATCGTCTCCAGGCCGTGGAAACTTGCAGAATCTTGGATTGGAAAGGACTGACCCGTAGAAGTGAGGCAGACAGAGTTTCCGGTATCTCCATTTGGACATATCCAGCAACCTTGAACATCCTTTTGTGCAGCGTTCGCGGTTTAACGCCAAACACAAATGATGCTGTCGTTGTCCTTGGGACTTGACAACGTCCTCACCTGTTCAGGCTATGTAGTATGGTGGCATCACCTGCCTCCCACCCTAGCAAGAAGAGCGGGCCCCGCCGGGAATCGAACCCGAGATCTCTGGATACCCAGATGCGCACCGCACTACCTGCACCCCTATGAATGATGCCACTAAAGGCTTCAAATTAGGTAGCAGTTTTGAAACCTCTGGTTAATTGAGCGAAATTCGGCAGATCTCAACGCTTATGAAAGGCAGCACTGTGTGAGTACGGCTGCACTTACCAAGCCCAGTACCAAGTACAAGTACTGACCAAGTACCAAGCTCTGATACCCAAACGAGAAGTGCTCTGTTTGCACTGACCCACCAGCGTGGTGTTAGCCCGGACCAGAGCAGTCTAGCCCAACAGCCTTCCGATCATTGTAAACGCCATCTGAACACTAGATGCTTCTGAGGCAAACACGCCTGCATTTAGAAGTAAACAGACATCTGTAGGTGCGCCTTTGCAGCGCCGCCGCGCTACGCCCCTGTGTCCTGCCAGTCCACAATGGCCTTCAGCGCCGCCTCACCACGTCCCCGTGTCCTGCCAGTCCACAATGGCCTTCAGCGCCGCCGCACCATGTCCCCGTGTCCTGCCAGTCCACGATGGCCTTCAGCGCCGCCTCACCACGTCCCCGTGTCCTGCCAGTCCACAATTGCCTTCAGCGCCGCCTCACCACGTTGCTGTGTCCTGCCAGTCCACAGCAGCCTTACAGCGCCGCCTCACCACGTTGCTGTGTCCTGCCAGTCCACAGCGGCCTTACAGCGCCGCCTCACCACGTCCCCGTGTCCTGCCAGTCCACAATGGCCTTCAGCGCCGCCTCACCACGTCCCCGTGTCCTGCCAGTCCACAATGGCCTTCAGCGCCGCCTCACCACGTCCCCGTGTCCTGCCAGTCCACAATGGCCTTCAGCGCCGCCTCACCACGTCCCTGTGTCCTGCCAGTCCACAGCGGCCTTACAGCGCCGCCTCACCACGTCCCTGTGTCCTGCCAGTCCACAATGGCCTTCAGCGCCGCCTCACCACGTCCCCGTGTCCTGCCAGTCCACAATGGCCTTCAGCGCCGCCTCACCACGTCCCTGTGTCCTGCCAGTCCACAGCGGCCTTACAGCGCCGCCTCACCACGTCCCTGTGTCCTGCCAGTCCACAATGGCCTTCAGCGCCGCCTCACCACGTCCCCGTGTCCTGCCAGTCCACAATGGCCTTCAGCGCCGCCTCACCACGTCCCTGTGTCCTGCCAGTCCACAGCGGCCTTACAACGCCGCCTCACCACGTCCCTGTGTCCTGCCAGTCCACAATGGCCTTCAGCGCCGCCGCGCCACGTCCCTGTGTCCCGCCAGTCCACAATGGCCCGTGAAGCGAGCACCGCAGAGCCTGTCTTGTGGAGCGAGTGTTACAGCTGTGTCTTACGGTATGCAGACACATATTGTCTGTGTCATTCCAGTGTGCGGCCATCACTTGAGATTGGCATTCATAATGCCACTACTTTCCGTAACTGCATTTCTTCACTCGTCGGCTGGCGTAACAATTTCATTGCACATTTTCGGCAACGTTAACTACCGGCCATTTTCTACGTTTAGGTACCATTAAGGTAATTGTACATCTTGTACACTTTGTACCTTGAGGTACAGTTATGATCGATGTGACTTTTTACATTTTGTACCGCTCTTGTAACCGTGCATGCGTGTGGCTCTGGATTGCAGGTCCTTTCGACCAGGAGGTCTTCTCAGTGTTTGCCATGCTGCTCTCCTCCTGCAGTGGGGCTGTGTCTGCTGACGTTCCCAGCGCTCTGGAGGTGACGGCGCGCGGCCTCTGTCGCCTCTGGCGCGCGGCTTCTGTCGCCTCTAGCGCGCGGCTTCTGCCGCCTCTGGCGCGCAGCCTCTGTCGCCTCTGGCGCGCGGCTTCTGTCGCCTCTGGCGCGCAGCTTCTGTCGCCTCTGGCGCGCGGCTTCTGTCGCCTTTGGCCGGCTTCTAGTCAGGACCTGTCGTTGATCGTGGTTTCGCATAAGCCCGGCTTGCTTTGGCGCTTATAATACTCTTCCAGAGTTCGCTCTTTTAGTTCGATCGTTTGTTGATTCTCTTGATTTATTAAAAGATTCGAGCTGCGCTCTTGCTCAGGATGCCACATTTGCGTGTCGCATGGAGTCAGCGCTGTACAGTACCGGGGGGGGGGGGGGGGAGGAGGGGTACACAGGGCGCCTCTCCAGATTTTGCCTATTGCCTTGCTCCATGCATCTCTCTGCGTGGCATCGTTTCAGGCTGCTCATGTCCTCCATCCGGAGGTCACCTGACCGCTCTGAAAGCTGACCTAACCTGGGGTCACTAACTGGCGGGTGCTCACTGTCGCCAGCGCCTGGCCCGCCTGATCGCGTCCTCGAAGGACGCCGCAGCGTTCCTCTCGGCCTCGCAGGAGGACGGCCTGCACTGGCTGCGGCACCGTCACACCACCGTGGCCGCCTTCTTCGAGGACTTTCTCGCCACACACGGACACAGGGCCCTCAACGAGGTGGGTTCACCGGCGGCAGGCTCAGCACCGCGCATGAACACGCTCAGCTCTGTCAGCCCACAGGCTGTAGGAGTCGGCTACCTCTGGCCACGCATGCTGACAACGAGACGGTTGCATACAGGACTTAAGCGAATGTCGGATGACTGTCGAGGTCACAGCGAGGACGCAATGCAGTATCTCATTTGTTCACGTGAGCATGATGTACGAATGGGACACGAATCTGCCATTCACTGACTTAATGTCTTAATTTGAGCAAATTCGGGCTTTTCAGTTAGGTTATTGTATTACTTAAGTCCGCGTAGCTTGTCTGCCACGGCTGTATCGAATTTAACGTCAAACGCTGGCGCAGCACGAAGGCAGCTTATGATGAAAACTTGTCCCGCTTATCCAAAGGTGTTCTGGGTGTCCATGAAGGGCTGCTGATGACGGCTTGTGGACCGTAGCATTTGTTTTACTGCCACGCCCTTTTCACACGGCATGGAGCACGTCTGCACCGAAAGCACATCTTCCTCGGACGACATTGCCTTCAGCACCTCATTTGTGTGTAACAAACTCATCGCCATGACAAAGAAACATCGTTATCTTCAACCGCTATGTCACCATATGCCATCATCACGCAACGACGGGGCGCCGCTAGAACGCTTAGTCGGAGAAAACTCACAGCTCGCAAAAAAGTGATGGTTTCCTCTTTGGCTTTGTTCCTGCGCGTCACCGACTTCCTACCTGGCGGGATATCTAATCTCCTGCCTGCCGCGCTCCGCCGCAGCTGGAGCTACACACCACACCGTGGGCGCTGGACCCAGGCGCGCTGGTCGCCACACTGCAGACCATGGTGCGGAATCCGGACTCCCTGCGGAACACCAAGCAGGAGACGGACGTGCCACAGGCGCTGTCCCAGCTGACGGTTCCCCTCTCCGGCATGACCAGGTCATTGGTGATGGACACCATTCCAGACCATTGTTCTCGGCAACTCGTTTGCGGCCGATGCTGGGGTGAGGTCTCTCGCTTTGTCCGCATTGTGCTGAACGTGATAACACTGGTGTTTTGTCATGCATTCTTTGACATAGTTATGACGGTTATTACTAGGCATCACTAGTTATATCCAGGCGAGACTCCGGGAGCATCAGTACAGGTCTCTTGTGGGAAGTTACCGCAAATCACATTACATCACGGATTAGACGAGTGATGACGTTGGGGCTAAATGAATACATCTGCTTCTTATGCCATTTTGCGCACGATATATTTGACGCAAATCATAAACAGCACGTATTATACCACCACCAGTGAACAGTACTGCAGCCTGCAATACCATCCATCGACAAGTGGAGACAACCGAATGCTTCCGGGCTGTTGAACGCTGTCCAGGACGTAGGCTTTCTCTCCTATGAAGACACCGAAGCTTGCTTGCAGCGCGGGCTTTCCCGCGGCGGTCACGGCTTCTCTCGCCTCCGCCCTGTGCCGGCGCTGTTCAGGCTGCACCGCTTCCCTGCGGCGGTCACGGCCTCTCTCGCCTCCGCCCTGTGCCGCCGCTGTTCAGGGCTGCACCGCTTCCCTGCGGCGGTCACGGCCCCTCTCGCCCCCGCCCTGTGCCGGCGCTGTTCAGGGCTGCACCGCTTTCCTGCGGCGGTCACGGCCTCTCTCGCCTCCGCCCTGTGCCGGCGCTGTCCGTCAGATCGCCCCTCCCAACCACCGACCTGATGTGTGTCACCTTCCTCACTTCACTCGGCGTGTTTGACGCCTCACGTGGTCGGTTACGTCGTCGCCAACCAACAGAAGATGTGTGCACCGCATCATCATCGCATAATCTGGCCTGGACACGGGAGATGCTGCACCTCCGCACCCCACCGTGACCGGCCGTCCCGTTTCGTCCTGTCCCACAGGCGGCTGGTGTCCTTCGTGCTGCCTTACGCTCGTCGCGGCGTGGTCCAGCGCGAGCAGACCAAGTCGCTGCTGGTCCGGATGCTCCACCAGTTCAGGCTGGCCTTCAGGTAATGCCACTCCGCACCCCGAGAGACGAGTGCGGAGCGCGCCAAAGGTCACCAGGGCGTGTCTTAAGAGCCTGTCAGGTCTGCCGTCACTTCGTCGCAATCTACCTAACATAGGTCGTGACAATGAGGTCAATATATGACATGGGTTACGATCAGCCTGTAGCGGCCGCTATGTCATGATAATCTGTGACGGCCGCAGTCGAAAGCAGTTTGCGGCAGCCGCCGGGTACGTGACAGCCTGCGGTTCAGAGTCGGTGCAGTGCAGCCTATACGGGTGTCTGACGCGGCCCCTTGAGCCTATCGCCTAGTCCGTCCTTCTCAGCCTAAGGAGCCCGTCTGCCGCAGTCACCTCGTCAGAGCCAGCCTGTTACCGCCCACCGAGTGTATCCGCAGCGGCTTGTCTGCCGCGGTCCGCTGCGCGTCACAGCGCGTGCGTCTCACCGGCCCGTGTCGTGACGACAGACGCCTGGCGGAGCTGATGGTGCGGGAGAGCCGCCTGCCCGACTCCGACCTTGTCTTCTTCCTCACCCTCTACGAGATTCAGCGCCTGCTCGACACACGCTCACCGGCCATCGTTACCAAGTCAGTGCCGGCGCTGGCGGTGGAGATTCAGGGGCGCGGCTCAGCTGCAGCTGCTGTTGAGTGACGGAGTACAAACGGCAGCCGCGTTAGTTGCGATGGAACCGCGCCTCATCAGTCCGCCGGACAAACTGCGAACATCTTGCGCTGACACTAGCTAGCAATAATGCACATCTGTTTACTTACTGTGTCCAAGCCACGAATAGGTTCATGATGTGAAATCCTTTCTGTCTGGCGGGCGCCAAGCCACGTTACTTCTGAGCTCGGGACCGATCCCCCGCCGCCGCCGCCAGGGCGCTGCGCCGTCGCCGTCTGTTCCCGAAGCTGGACCGCATGCGCTTCCCCGAGATGATCTACGGCGTGCCGCGCCCCCTGGCGGCACAGAGCTCGAGCCAGGGCACCGCCGGCCACCTGGCGGTGACCGGCACGCCCGTCTGCCAGGGCCGCGTGCAGGGCACGGCCCGCGTGGTGCGCGATCTCGCCCAGGCCATCGAGATTCAGGTGCAAAGTTCACCGCTGGATGTGGGCATCGACATCAATGGGGGGGGGGGGATTGATTATATGTGGCGGCCACTTGTAAGAATTATTTAATATGCAAGTTTTCTGTCCGCCGGGTTTGTGAACCACTTGCTTGAGCATGACGTGATCAGGTGGTCGAAAGCTGAGTGCAAAAACATTATAAGCATCACAAACGTAATGATGGAACCACCTTCACAAACGGTTGTCTCCAAGGAACACGTTTTTCCCTGCCTTAGAACGACGACATTCTGATCACGCACGCCACGGACATCGGCTGGAGCCCGTACTTCCCGGTGCTGAGCGGCGTGGTAACCGAGCTGGGCGGTCTGATCTCACACGGCGCGGTGGTGGCGCGCGAGTACGGTCTGCCCTGCGTGGTGGGAGCCACCGGAGCCACCGACCTGATTCAGTCCGGTCAGTACGGGTGCCCTGGGTGGTTCCCTGGAGCGAACTTGAGCCCGGTGGGGCGATGGTTCCCTGGAGCGAACTTGAGCCCGGTGGGCGATGGTTCCCTGGGTGGTTCCCTGGAGCGAACTTGAGCCCGGCGGGGCGATGGTTCCCTGGGTGGTTCCCTGAGCGAACTTGAGCCCGGTGGGGCGATGGTTCCCTGGGTGGTTCCCTGGAGCGAACTTGAGCCCGATGGGGCGATGGTTCCGTGCTACGCATGTTTTGTGTCCTACCGTTTATGGAGTCCCCAGTGGGAGGCAGGAGGGAGTGAGCCTCATCAGTTTGTGAAATGTTGACGTAAAAACTGAGGCCACCGCGGAACTGGCGGCACGCCAAGCACGATTCCGGCCGAGAGCTCGGGGCACGGAGTTTATCAGTGACAGTTCTCTGACTGTGTGTTTAGCAGATCTCTGACTGTGAGCTTGGGCATGTTTGAAACAGCGTCTTTGTTAGGGATGTGGTTTTCTATTCGTGGTGGTGGGGGGGAGGGGGGGGGGAGATTGGAGGGGGTTGACTGGGGGAGGTCAGCCACTGAACTTGGGCTCCATCCCCAAACTTTGGGAAGTGCGTGGGCCAAATCTGGGGAAAATCTGTTTGCTGCTATGCCTTGGGGTAGTTTGAGCCATTTTTCACTGTTCACACCCCAGCACATTTTGTAGAAATATGCCCCTGGTGCTACTTTTAAAGGGAAAGTTTGACATTTGAAGGCATTGAAGTAAGCACCAGACATGGCGAAGCAAGCCCACCTATAGCTGTTGATAAACTTAAGTAGAAAAGGAAAATGACAATCCTATGTTATTATCCTCAGAGGAAAATGCCGAGGATTGTTTTAATCGAGGATAGTGCCGAGAATTGTTCTGTTTGAGGATAAAACCGACGATTGTTCTGATCGAGGATAATTCCGACAATTGTTCTGATCGAGGATAATTCCGAGGATTCTTCTGATCGAGGATAATACCAGGATTGTTCTGATCGAGGATAATGCCGAGGATTGTTCTGACCAAAGATAATGCAGAGGATTGTTCTGATCGAGGAAAATACTGAGGACTGTTCTGATCGAGGATAATACCGAGGATTGTTCTGATCGAGGATAATACCGAGGATTGTTCTGGTCAGGGACAATACGGGGGATTTTTCTGCTTGAGGATGATACCAAGAATGGACAAAATGTTTTTTGTGACCATCCGTCGGGCTTAGAACCTTGGCTCGATGACGTCAGAACCCAATTAGGGATCTGATCCGGGTCAACAACTGGACCGTTTATTTGTCAAGTGACACGACGCCGTTTGCTCATGAAATGCTGCCTGTTGTGGAGTCAAATAACACCCATCGTCTCTGCTCCGCAGGCGACATCGTCATCCTGGATGGGACACTGGGCACGATCACGCGCCTCCAGCCGTCCAGTGACGCACCAGAGTCCGTCGCAGAGGTCCCAGATTCCGCCACAGAGTCCAGTGACCCATCAGAGTCCGCCGCATGGGCTCTGTAGGGTGGCGTCCCGGGCCGTGATCGGCTCAGTAGGATGGCCCCCCCCCCGGCCGTGATCGGCTCAGTAGGATGGCGTCCCCGGCCGTGATCGGCTCAGTAGGATGGCGTCCCCGGCCGTGATCGGCTCAGTAGGATGGCGTCCCCGGCCGTGATCGGCTCAGTAGGATGGCGTCCCCGGCCGTGATCGGCTCAGTAGGATGGCGCCCCCGGCCGTGATCGGCTCAGTAGGATGCCCCCCCCCCCGGCCGTGATCGGCTCAGTAGGATGGCCCCCCCCCCCCCGGCCGTGATCGGCTCAGTAGGATGGCGTCTCCGGCCGTGACCTGGCGGGCGCACCGTCGGATGGTGCTGCGCTGTCGGCCGGCGCATGGGGCGGGGATCAGGGGCGACCCTGGCTCCCGTGCACAGACGTTGGTTTGATCCCACGTCAAGATCACAATGAGGCTCTAGCGCTACTGATTTCACTGTTGATTTCGCTCCAGATCATGCAACAAATGAGGGCATGGATCGGGCTATCCGCATCGGCACAGGAAAACCTGATGATTATTGCGATGCCTTCAATGCAACATACTTATGATCATCATACACGGTGCTGAACAGTGACTGGAATGCTGGTGATGTCTGCGATGAAAACATAGAACACAACATACAAGTTTAACCACTCTTCAGCATCGGTTCACAGCGCAACGAGATATTGTTCAGAACAATACATTTATTCCGCGTGAGTGACTCAACCGGTGGCGTGGTCAGGGTTTTCAGAGTGCTCAGAACTGGAGGGGGGGGGGGGGGGGGGAGCGGAGGGACGAGCGGAGCTCCTTGCATAAAACAAGCTAAACCCAGCGATTTCCACATATGGCACGGAAGTCCCCGGCTTTGTAGAATCGTATTCCGACGTTTTGGGAGCGGGGGTGACGTTTCCCCGCTGGCCACCTCGTGGCCAAGCCTATGCGAACGACAACAACGTACTTCGAAAGTGGAGCTCAGCACGCACGCACGCGCACACGCACGCACGCACGCACGCACGCACGCACGCACGCACGCACGCTCACACACACACACACACACACACACACACACACACACACACACACACACACACACACACACACACATTCAATATTTACCAGCCAAACGTAGCGAAATATGAATATGTGAGGCTCTTCGGGTGATATGAATCAGGATAGTGCAGAAAACGCGCCAAGTAATGAAGTAATCAGTCATCGGTCGGTGGCCTGTTCCCTGAAGAAAAAAAAACCGAATGCCATCTCATCGTCTCCAAGCGACCGGGCTTCTGGTCTGGCTTCAAACGTTGCAGCTGGCCTTACCCCGCCACCTCCTCGATATCGCTGGCGCCGCTGAGGCTCTCGTCGCTGCGGTACTCGAGGCCGTGCGGGCCGCGGGACGAGTACTCCTCCATCATGGGCAGCCGCAGCATGAACGGCTTGGGCTTGCGCAGCAGGTAGGCCTGAGCGGCGACGGTGGCGCCGCCCGCGGCGTCCAACCGTACCACGGACTCGGCACACCGCTCGTAGTGTCTCGGCACGCCTTCGAACCGGTCCAGCCAAGCCAGCTTGGCGACGTCGACCGCGTACAGTTCGCCGCGCACGCGGTGGCCCTGGCCCGGCGCGTCCACGAGGTACGGGATGTTGTACCTGGGGGACGGGGGCGCGGTGAAAGTAATGGGATGCGAAGAGAGACGGAACAGCCAGCGAAGAGAGCCGCCGTGGTAACGTCGACGCGCGGAATGAGCCACATCTTGAAAAGAAATTCAACAGAGAGACGAGTCAGGACCCAGAGAGCGCCATGTGACAGGCAATAGGGGGGAATTCAGATATAAGCAAGAGATAAGGACGCTAGATACAATGGCTGAGTGGTGTCGCGAGAGGCCGGAGCTCCCCCTCCCCAGCCATGCCGCTGTCGTGCTCCTGCCGCACCCCACAGGCCCCACCTGGAGGCGATAACCAGTGGGAGGCGCCGCTCGGTGACGGCTGGTGCCACTAGACGAGCCAGACCCGTCTGCTCATCCATCAGCAGGCGGTGGTTCGGCTCCCCCGCCTTCAGTGTGCCGTACACGAAGACCAGAGCGCCGTCCATTGAGAGCCTGAAACATCGGAACGCCGGACCTCGCCGTCACGCATCAGTGACAAAGGTCCGTTTGTGCCGACGTCGATCAGTTACAGCTGACAACGACCTCCAGCACCGGCACGGAAGAAGCGTAGCGCTGGTACAAAACGTTAGCGTAGCGCTGGTACAAAACGTTAGCGTAGCGCTGGTACAAAACGTTAGCGTAGCGCTGGTACAAAACGTTAGCGTAGCGCTGGTACAAAACGTTAACACCGTAATGTGGACCCAAAAATATTCACAATTTATGTCCCATTTATGTCTTGATTGCGCTGTAGTAACACTACCCAGTGCTATTGTGAGACGTAACTGATCGTGAGGTTTAACTGGAATATATTTTCTAAAACATGCCCCAAGCGTGGGACAACTCCCTTTAGGATCAACTTCGCTAGATGCGCGCAAAAACGCCACCAACCGCAGCCAACATCAATGCATGTAGACTACGGTGAGACAGGGGATGAGCTAAACTGAATTTGGCTTAGATATACTGATCATTTTGCAGAATGCAGTGAGGTTGCTCGCTTTTAAATAACACCTAACCATAGAATTTCACCCCAAACAGCTCTCAAAAACACCGACACATGTCAGCAGTCTTTAACCCCTGGCCATTAGGTGAGTAGAAGCAAATGACGTGCTGACGGGACAGTCCAATGTGGCAGCGGGCTGCGGTACCTACCACGCTCGAGCGCCTCCCCCCAACACCGTTGCCGCCCCGACGCCACTGGACGGGGCGATCGCCATCAGTCAGCCTGACCTTGGGGGGGGGGGGGGGGGGCGTGCGGTAGAGGTGCAGAATTTTGCGAGTACGGGTACAGACTACAAAATAGATGTGACGGCGGCCCATTGACACAAAACAGCGAAAGGCGCAACCGACGATTTTTTACATGCTTTTGTACTCACATCGAAGTTACGGCCAGGGTTGTCGTTTTCTAAAATTGGTGGAGTGAGGCTGAGCTGATTAAGTGGCAAATAGCCTAACCAGAAGACCGCATTTCCCCCGGAATTCGCTGACCATTGTTGAGGTCCCCATTTACAATAGTAAAAGAAGGCCTTTACTTTATCTTTAGGCTTAGGTCTATGTTTTAAATGTTTAACCAATCCCAAAATTATGTTGGTACTGAGGAATGGCTTCCTATTCGAAGCCAATGTGAAGCTGCATTTTTTAAAAACATGTTAGAATGGGATGTAAGTCACACAAAATCTTAGTGAACCGACCAGCTGTGGTCAACGAACGAAATGTCGTTATTCGTCCACCAGTAGCTGCTCCAAGCGCAAAAAGACAGCCTCATGCAGAACGCCATGACCTGACAGGTGCAGACGAGAGGTTCTACAAATCATTCTACATCTTGGTTCTACATCTTGAAAATCACTCGGTGCAGTTCACAGACCTGCCCATCTTAAAACCTAAATCACTCTGGTTTCTAAGCTAAACGCCCGAAAAATTGTGCAGACTTTTTCGGAGAGACTATTTCAAGGTCACCCAGACATCCATGTCTCAATGATAACATGATCAAAATCCGGCCGTTGCAGTGGCCATGTGGCAATCAGGGCCAAGTAAAATGGAATTATCGCTTCATTTACGCCTGGAGTTCGTGAGCACGACTCACAGATAAAGCGGCGATCAACTGGCTCTAAATCAATGCTGTGCAAGGTACCATAACGCAATCCGATAATGACGATTGGGGAGCATGCTTACTAACGGATAAATTGTGCTGTCTAAAGCATCATTTTCCACTCAAAAGTGCACGAATGGTTGTAAGCAAGCTTATTTCATCATATCTGGCGGTTGCCTCAATACCAATAAATGTTGAACATTCCCTTTGAAGCGAATGGGAGCAGGTATAGCCATGCGAGTACAATATACATGGTGGATGTATGTGAGATAGTTTTTCTCTGCCACCTGTAAATCCCATACTATGTGTGTGTGTGTGTGTGTGTGTGTGTGTGTGTGTGTGTGTGTGTGTGTGTGTGTGTGTGTGTGTGTGTGTGTGTGTGTGTGTGTGTGTGTATGTGTGTGTGTGTGTGTGTGTGTGTGTGTGTGTGTGTGTGTGTGTGTGTGTGTGTGTGTGTGTGTGTGTGTGTATGTGTGTGTGTGTGTGTGTGTGTGTGTGTGTGTGTGTGTGTGTGTGTGTGTGTGTGTGTGTGTGTGTGTGTGTGTGTGTGTGTGTGTGTGTATGTGTGTGTGTGTGTGTGTGTGTGTGTGTGTGTGTGTGTGTGTGTGTGTGTGCGTGTGCGTGTGCGTGTGTGTGTGTGTGCGTATGCGTCTCCGTCCGCACTGCGCCTGTGTATGCGTCTTGGGGACTTCACGACCCACTCAGCAGCTGAGGATACATGCCTTTGGCTGCTTCTCAACATGGCAGGAAGGGCATGCACACTGGAACGAGGCACACAACACCTCGAGCTGCACTCAAGGTCAACTGGCGGTCTGAACGGGCCTCCCGGACATGTCGGAAGGCCTATTTGTATGCGCCAAACCTTCAGGAGGCCTACGTTGTGAGCACCTTTTTTGCAGCGGCGGACAGCTTTCAACTGGCCGGGATTCAGATGGTCATGCTCCACACAAGGCCGCAGGGGGTTTTCATAGGTTCCATGGTTCACAAGCCCACGCAGTTTATGCTCAGGATGCTTACGTCAAGAAGGCATGCGTTTAGAAAGCCTACGTTCCGGATCTTTACTTTCTGAATGGCTGTGCTGAGCAAGGTAAAACATACCGGTTAAAACAAAGTTCAGTAGAAGGACTGCAAGATAAAACTAGAAATGCACTAGATATGCAATTAAGACTAAATTTAAAGTTCACTGTGACCATTTCGCAGCCGGTAATTAAAACTAGCGTGGTGCAGGTGCTGCAATGAACACGAATTTAAAATTGAAAACAATGCTATGCCCATAATTTTTTCAGGAAGCTCCCGAGGCGTTGTACACTGCATTACACTTCTTGCGTCGATGCAATGGACACCGCCTGACATAGCAGTGGGCGCAAAATGGCCGCTGCAGTCCAGGCCCTCATAAAACTGAAATACCATACCGAAGAAACACGGACAACCTAACGGGCGCGGAATGGTAACTGTGGTCGATGCGCCCATAAAACCGAAATGCTACACTTTACCACACACGCACGCGACGGCGCACGCACACACACACACACACACACACACACACACACACACACACACACACACACACACACACACGTTACGTTTAACACACACATACACACGCACACACACACACACACACACACACACACACACAGAAATCACCCCCCCCCCCCCCAAACATACATTACATACTCGTACCACTCATACTCTCATACATACTCGTACTCGCCAACATCTGTATAATCACTGGGATATGGAGCCTTCGCGACGTGCTAGAAGTCAGATGTTGTTATGACTGTGACGTGGTTTCAACATGCAAGTGCCAGTGCAGTTGCACAGGGTATTGTAACAGCGAGTCATGACTCACTGCTGGAAAACCCTGCGCATTATCTGAGCCTGGATATGGTGCATTGTGCATGAAAAGCTCTGCTGCAGGGTGTTTGACCGCTTAGAGAAAATCGTTAAATACTGGGTAGCGGTTATAGGGGTTTTGCATTTTGTTGTT